TTCAGTCATAGTCTGGCCTCCTTTAAAGCTCTCTCCCTCACTGAGATATTGTCCACCCGCTGCACCGCATTAATTTGAGGCGGCAGTCGCGTGTTGCTCAGGTATGATTTGTTTTTACGGATTTCGCGCGGTTCATATACTACCTAGTCTGTGAACAAGGCCTGTCTCCTAAATTTGTTACGTCTCGCCCCGCAGAAGCACTTGGCAATGACGGTAGGCATTCCAGGATGTCATTGGTGTGTGTTGAGCATCACCAACTCGTCCCAAGCATTGCGTCCCCATAAAACACGATGAGGTACCATGCCGGTCCAGCCCATCTGAATACAAAAGCTTTGGGTAAATTCGATATTATGCAGATTATTTTGCGGAGACGAAAAGAGAAATCATTAGGATAGAATTTGGGACATCTAAGATGCATAGTGGAGAAGTTACTAACCGGGCAGAAAATGGTTTAGCAGAAATTTGGCTTCCCTCCAGTAACATCGCGAGCTCGCGCGCGTAGCCCAAGAAATTTTGGTGAATGAAATCATGAGAAATGAAATGTTTTGTCTAGTCGAAAATCACATAATTGCTTCGCTCACTGTGTAAAAAACGTGTTTCTGTTGAGAAGCCTTCTGTAAATATTATTCCCTCATTTAACTGTTTAAAATCTTACTCAAACTGACGTGGGAAAAAACGGGTTTTTACTGGCTTATGGCCCTCAAAATGCTCATGGAATTTGTTTTTGTTGCAAACTTTGCATATGAGAAGTTTCAAAATTTTTTTAAACGCGAAGTGGAATCGGCTGTGATGTTTTTACTTGCTGACTTTCCTATTTTCTGTTCTTAATCACTCTAAAAAGCTGGGAACGACAAGCTGTACGCAAGCCCTGAGTATGGCTCTAAAAATAAGTGCTTTTGGAGAAGTAGGAAAAGTCAGTTTTTATTGCCTAGTAGCTATAGCTTTTCTCTGGATAATAAGGTTAGGTTATTCTAGTGAAGGCAATGCTATCCTAGGTTTAACTCGATGTCTTGGCTGCGAAAAAAAAACCATTATTTTTAAAATCCGAGGATTTGTTTCGATGGGAAATATTTGGTAGCGAGTCATGTCGGGGAATCCAAAATCATTGTTTATCCTGCTCCTCAAGTAATCCCCCGGGAGGGTGAACCGTCATCATCGTCAACATTGCGAACTTTTGATTGCGGTAAGCGGGTTTATTTCTGCTCATGTTACTTTCGAATGCCTCCTCCCACAGTGAATTAAATAAGGAAAAGATGAGCGAGTGGTTTTTTTTTTCTTTTTTATTTTTAAATATTTCTTTATCGTATCAACCTCACCAGGACTGCAATAACAGGTATGTTTTCGTATATCTTGTTTCTGAAGCGCTCTCGCTACAACTCTATCAATGTAGCAGCAACCTCTTACTCACAGTTTCATGTATCACTTTCCATATATGTTGTAAAATAGTGTATTCCTAAATTATTGTACTGCTGGATAAAATTTTTCAGTTTTTTTTTTCACTGCTACAAGTGCAAATTTACGTTTGAAAAATCACGTATCACGTAAGAATACTTTTTTTGGATTTCTAATCGTAACACTCAACTAACTTTTAAAACCGTCAACACATGAAAAAAGAAGAACGAGCAATTAATGCAGCAATTGTGGACCATCCTCCTTTTTTTTTTAATGTTTTTTCCATGGTATATTATAGTTTTTACGATTCGTTTCGATGGTAAATTGGTATTGGTGTGGTAAGGATGCAGAAAGTGGCAAACTTACTTTCTCCAGAATCGAGAGCTATTACGAGTCTTGTTACGAAAGTGGTTTCTGGCATTGAAGGTTTGAACTCAGCCCTGCACTTCGTTCCCGGAATGAAATCTGCTCAAGGATTTTGAGTTTTCAGTTTTGTTTATGTTTGCGCACGAAAAAATTTTCGGATTTCTCAGAAAATGAGCTTCTTGTTATGAACTGTTTGCGACTGTGAACGATTAAATCGCAGAGGAAACATGCAAATGAACATCCAAGGAATTTCAATGTTTTTGCAGTCCGCATTGTATCCGAGGGATAAAGTTCCTGAAACTTGCATTTCTCAGGTTTCGTCCAACAGAGCAACGTGAATCCGAGAGCTGAGTTAATAATCTGAGGCAAGAGGAGCAGGGCAGTTGAATGATGGCGTATGGCATCTTGAATAGCTTTTGCGGGTAATTACTGTGGGCACACGCCATTGTCCGGGCTATTTCTGATTGCCTTCGAATCGTATTGGTGAGTGATTGTAGTGGAGGGGTTTTTGACCGTTCATTTTTTTTTTTTGTGATTTTTGGGTGGGAGATTTAACTCTTCAAAATGAGCTAACAAATTGAATTTAGCGCGAAAGCGAACTAAGAATTTTTTGAGTTGAAGGAGGGACACGCACACGTACGTCTGAAGCCGAGTAGTCGAAGGGAAATAGAAAGAGTGATGCAGCGTTACTTATGATATAACAGCTCGGGTAAGCAGCTAGTTAATTATGTCTAAAGGCATCCAGTCCGGCATCCGCTGCTCTGCGCCTCATTATTATCTCTCTCTTAGCACAGTTGAGAAGGCAGCGCGCTAACTCCTTGCTAAGCATCGATTATTCGTGGCGCTATTTTTGAGGTAGAACGGAGGGAAGGAGTTGTTTGTGAATTAGTAAGTACTCTTAGCACACAAACACACACACACAAGGCCAACCACCATGGCCCGGCTGTCGGGCCTGGCTCCTGCTGCTGCCATCGATTCCGCCCTCTTCGGATAGTCAAAGTAGTAGCCCTTGAAGTACAAAGTGTAGCCTTATCGCTGAGTGTGCTGTGATGAGGGTGGTT